TTATGCCTCCAAGGGTACAGGGTGGAAGGCTGCTTGTACACTTGCACTTACCCAAGAGTCAAATCCATATTTCAGGATTCGAATCTTTGACGCAGCAGCCTCAAGCAAAGCTGGATTTTTCCACCCTCCCCTTTTATCACTTGGAGATGTGCCCTGGGGGCGGCCTCCTCTATAAATAAGTACCCACATTACATGGCTTAAAGAGGCCTCTTCTAACATATTCTTCCTCTTCTTTTCCATCCTTCTACTTCTTTATATCCAAAAAGCAAATTTATTAGATCCATCCAAAAGAAAACCATGCTAGAACCTTCCCTTAATACCCTCAAACCTACAGCCACCATTAAGTTCTTGTGTAGCTATGGCGGCCGAATCCTTCCCCGTTATCCCGATGGTAAACTCCGTTACCGTGGTGGAGAAACTCGTGTTCTTTCTATCGATCGCTCGATTTCCTATGCCGGTTAGTCACGTTTTCATTTTCATTTTTTTAACCATATGACTACACGGCTAAAACTTTTAAAAAGAAGCGACATGTCTTTGTTTTTGTTTTGTTCTCAATGTCATTTCATGGGCACACCAAATTTTATTTTTCGATCGCATGCACAGTATTTTTCACGAAGGGGCATCCACCAAACTTAAAAGTTAAACCTAAGCCTTTTGCCGACTTATAAACTAAATTAATCATCTCATCTAAACATTTGAACAAATGAAAAAACACCTAATTGTGCTGAAAGTACATACATGGGACTGAGATGTATATAATTTGGTGGCGCGTGGTGTTTACAGAACTGGTGGTGAAGCTTCGGGATATGTGTGGAACATCTTCAATGAGTTTAAGGTGTCAATTGCCAACTGAAGACTCAGATGCACTTGTATCAATCACTTCCGATGAGGACCTGGCCACTCTCTTTGAGGAATACGATCAAGCCACGGCGGCGCCGCCTGCATCTATCAAGATTAGGGCCTTCCTTTCAACCCCGAAAGCCACCAATAAAGTGTTGCCGCCACCCTCCTCTGCCTCCTTGTCTTCATCCTCTAGTAACGACGCTACGTCGACCAAATCAATTTATTACACCACAGCCACCTTACCCCCAAGATGTCCAACATCGAATACTGGGCATTGCACTCGATATGCCTCGAAACCGCCGGTGTCTCCGCCATGTAAGGGTGCAGCCACCGCGCGACAGCTTCCTAAGTTTGCTTATCGTCATGTGCATGGGAACAAAAATGGGCAGGTTTATCTTATCCATCATGGGAACCATTGTCAGTAGAGGCAAAATTTGGTGGAATGAATGGACAAAATTGCCTTAGGAAAATTAATACAGAAATTATCACCAATAGTATAAGCAAAAAAAAAAAAATTTACGATGTAAGATCGATTCGATTTTAAAAAGGGATCCATTTTTGTTGATCCTTGCATGGTAATCAATGGAAATGGTAACCTAATTTCATTTTTGTCGTCGAACAATTTGATGATGAGTTTCTTTCTTTCTTTAATTTTCCTTCTTCGTTAGATATTCCTTATGTAAC